GCGTCCGGTGTAGACACGGTGTAACGGTTGCCTGTTACATCCTACAGTACATAAAATTTCACTTACCACATAAACAGAGTAAGGAGAGATGACTGAGGACGATGGCGAATGATTTGCAGATCCTCAGTACCACTGACAAACATATAATCTTGTAAAATGTGTGGCAAGTACTGCCGCTCCATAGTATAAACAGAGTATGTGCAATCGCGAATCTCGAAAATGAAACTAAATGCGATCGTGCATTCAAAAGCACGATGCCAGGTATAATAGCGGCTCCCTGATGCCGAAATATATATGTAAGTATAATTACCCAATTATATAACTGCGAGGAAAAATATTGAAATATATATTTTCCTCCTATCTCGTATTTATTCCCTTTGTGGGTTCCGCCTACACGTCATTTTCTTTCCAAACACGGTATTGGGATGCGGGGGGGGATCACGATGCCAGCTCAACATCGTGATGTCTATCAGCCATCGGCGATGGACGATGGCATCGTCTATCGGCCCAACCCTAGCTGGAGCTGGACGTTTTATTCTCCTGCAAATAGTCTTCTCGTCTAAATTAATTTGACTAATCCAGTTAGATTCAACGGTATTTTATTACAGATTGAGTCGAGTCCGTTTCCAGGAGAGCAGTTCCCCGAAATGAGCCTCATTACGTTCAGAATGAATTTTCTTTTCTTTTTCTTTCTTTTTTTTTTATTGAACTAATATGACCAGTAAGTTTCAAGGACAGTATATTAAACGTGTTGAATTTAGAGGAAAGATTAGAGTCTATAACAGAGACATATTCTACAGCATTGAATTTTTGTTTTCTCTTTGAAGTCCAGGGTTTCTTGCATTAAAAATTTTGTAGTTTAGTTTAGCGTGAATATTTTCCACCCTCACTATGGCTCAGGCTGTTTTGCTACTGTACCTTTAAGACTTCTGTATGTAAGTTATACCACTTCAATAGTAAATGATCCTTGTTGTGATAGTCTGACAAATTTGCATTGGAAAACAAGTAATGTTCCTGTTAGGTTGCTGAAAACCAAGTCGGCCATTAAATAGTGGTTGTGACTTCATTCTGAAACTTAGATTTAAGATTGTTTGATTTAATTTTATTCTGAACTGGTTCAAACTGTCAGTTTCAGTCATTTTTTCAATTAATTAATTATTTTCTCAAAAACGTTCATAGAAGTCATGTAAAAAAAATAGATGTAGATAAGTACTGTTGTTGTTTTTTTACTTATATTAGTGCATATAAATAAAAAATGAAACCGTTTGGGGACAGTAAGATTTTTTTGAGAGAAATTAATGTTTTTATTTAGCAAGGATGCATTAAATTGATCAAAGGTGAGATTTATAATGTTACAAAAGAGTTTAAACAGTTATTTAAGAATTTAAACCGTAGTGTTTTCTTGCATATTTACTGGGGGAAAAGATGGTGTGGAAAACATGCCTTGATTATTTTTAAACTATATTTGAACAGAAGTTTAGTTTGTGGCTACAATGGCTGTTTGGTTCTTCTGATTGAAAAGAAATCACCCTTTCAAGCCTTTTCGGAGCATAAAGATAAATACCAAGAGATATAGATCTATATATAATTGCATCAAAATGGTGGAAAACATCAAGATTTTTTTAGCTATATCGCCCAGCTCTGATCTACATAGCACATTGATCTCTTTTATTTCAAAAGAGCAAAATCTCTCTGATTCATTATCTTTAATGAACGTAGGAACTGGAAATGTAATTTTTCTGACTGTTTATGCTCCCCCAGCAGCTACAGCTGTTCAGGCCCCTCTTCCGAATCAGACTAATTGATAGACTAAATACTTTGGATGTGAGCAGGTGTTTTGGTCTTTATAGTTAATGCTTTATGAGTCGGCACAATCTTTGCCATTATGAGCAAGTCTTTCATTTGTAATTCAGAACATCCCAGGAGTTAGTGTGTTTAATAGGCCCTGCTGGTGAAATCATTCAGCCTTCCCATCAGCACGCAGATAATGATAATGTATTCAGCATGTAATTTCGGTCTTCCTGTGTACAGAGCTGCCCTTTCCTTTCTTGGCAAATACCAGTAGGTCTATAGAGCAGATGTGTCACTCCAAAAACACAGAGAATTGAAAGCATGTAATGATGAATGTTAAAGGAATGAAAATTGTCCTCATTTGCTTGGCCATCATGTCGTTCCAAAGTGCTTCTTTTTTCTGTGAAACGCAGGAAGACTGTGCTGGTCACTTTTTTTTTTTTCCCCCCAGGCAATTACGATGAAATGTGGGCTAAAGGGTGCGAAAGTGCTCCATACACTCGTGCATTAGATTCCAAGTCGTCTGAAGACATACGATAGCTTACAATTAAATCGAACGCCTTGGTGCATTTAATGAAAGAAGTAGTTCTTTCTAATTTGTGAACCAAACGTTGCTTGTTTGTTGTATCTTTTCATTGAGTTGGCTGATTCAGCTCGCTCTGAATGATTGAGATGATTTGGTCACAATGGATAACGGCTCGCTACAAGGGCAATCATTGATTTAATGGTTTCAATTGTGGTCTTTTACTCACACAAAGCTTTCGTAGATCTTCAGAAGAGATGGAATGTAGTGCATGGGTCATATAAACCATTTTTATGATATTTGCCATTTCTGCATGCTTTTTGAAGCATCTTCAATAACTGTTCTTTATTTTGAAAGAGCGGCTAAGATAATCTGTTTCAAAGAAGTAAGTCAAAGAAAGGTTTGGAATGGCATGAGTAATGATTAAAGACGTTAATTCTTTTATTTAACATTTTTTAATTCTTAGTTGACTATTCCTTTAAAATTAGTTTCTAAAACAAGCATTGATTGATCTACTCTAGGTCTTAATTTTAGTTTTATACGGTACATTTTAAAAAAAATTTATGGTAAAAAAAACCTTTTGTGTAAAGGTATGGTAGCAACTTATGCTTTACAGAATGAACTTATACCAAAATATACCAAATGACGTAAATCAGTGTTTTACTTTTATTAATACACTGGCAATCACAATAAAAACATAGGCGGTAAAGAGAAAGTCACATGATGGAATCGCAGTTCATCACAACAGCTCTTCCAAAAGCTGATGTAAATGAAAAGATGCGCTACTATCTTCAAAGTGTGTTCAGTAGCTGGTGTCATCTTTTTCCTAATGCTCCAAAATGTTCTTGGAAGGGCTCTGTGATTGCACGCTATCCCTAGATAAAAATGGAAATGATTGTGTCTTCGAAAGCCTAATCTTGATTAATAAAGCAATTCACCTGGCTTTCTGGGAATTACAGTACGAGGTAGAATGGCTCCGTTCCAAACCCTGGTGAGCTGCCTTGCCTACATATGGCGCTTTTCCACTGCGTGGTACGACTCGGCTCGGCACGGCTCAGTACGGCACGGCTCGGTTCGGCTCGGTTTGCGTTTCCACTGCAGTTTAGTATCGCTTTAGTGTGGGCGGGATTGTTCACATGTCGTTAATGTTGCGGTCGCCTCAACTGCCGCGACTCCTGAAAAACGTTTTCATTCCGCGTCGCCCCATCAAGCTCTCGCTGGATCCGCTCCTCTGCTATCAACGAGAGGAACGTCTGTACTTCCTCAACAGGGAACAGACACTTTTTGGTTGTTAAAAAAAAAAAGGTGCACTCGTTCAGTTGCGTTCGATCCTTCGCTGGCTGTGCTGATTTAAATCTAGCGCTTCTTTTGTGTTTGTGTCGCGCATTCTTACTGAAATGGCACCTCTACACACTCTACCTTTGAATGACATACAAATAGCACTTTTCACATGAAGAGCTTGGCAGACTTGACTCAGGTTTGGTGGTATAACAACTAGGGAATGAATTATGGGATTGCTTTCTTGATGAAGCATGCATGCAATTGTTTAGAATTTGTCCAAAAGCAACATATGTAGCACTTGGAACAGATTCTGCGTTGGCACAGCCTTCTAATATGCTGCCTACATAGGGTTTGGAACAGAGCCGATCTATCAGGAGAAGGTTATATTTGGTGGCCCCTCGTAAATCGGCACATGCTACAATTAGACGTCTCCCTCATCCATGTAAATTCAGAGCAGATAGTCATCCTTATCAGGCACATCATGCTACTGTCATCTTGGGTTTTTAATTGAGTAGAAGATCACTGTGGAGCAATTACGCTTTGATGTGCAGTCAGCCGTTGATTACACAAACTTTGTTTAACTAAACTATGTCAATCTGTTGCCATAGTAACCACCTGGAAAAGAGCCTTCAGCTGCTGATGGACCGCATGGACGACATGAGCCAAGATATCGGCAAGTACAATACGTACTGCCGCAACCTCAGCAAACAGCAGCAGCAGAAGCAGCAGGTACATTTGCTTTTTCTCGTCTGTTTCTTCCTCGGTGGCCGCTGATCTGATGCGCCGTCACTCTCTTTTGAATTGGCTTTTTAAAGTGAGCACTGCAATGCCGTTTCAGCCCGAGTTGTCGTTTAGAGTGGCTGAAATGTCTAATTACAGAATTAAGAGTGCAGGTCCAGACGAGGTTGATTGGATGCACGCATACTCTTGTAGGAAATGCAGAGGCTTTGATATTAATGCATTCAGTGTTTGAAATCTGCTTTTCGTAATCAATACTTTTGAAAGTAAAACCAACAAAGAGTGAGAAAAGAGCTGGTGCAAGATGAAGTCTGCATCATGCATATGGTTTCATTGAAGTTATGCAATAATTTAAGGACTTTCAGAAATATGGTCTGGTCAAGCTCAGATGCATAAACTTTATTATTGATAATGAATATACATACAATTTACAAGCATAAGTAAATGGTAATAGTTTTCCCCCTCCAAAATGATGTCACTTCCTGGAGGATGATGATGTTACAATGATGATTGATTTTTGTTCATTTAAATAAACCCGAAACAAAATATAAATATAAATAAATTACAAATGTTGCCTCAATATCTAACTGAAACAAAATATGTTTTTATAAATACTAAAATGACTAAAAATAAAAAATGAGTTAAATCTAAATCGAATTGTTGACAAAAGTAAATGACAAAAGCATATAGCATAATTACTAAAACTTAAATTAAAATAAAAACTGAAAATAAAAAAATAAAAGCTAAATCAGAATATTCTATACTTATAATAGTATATAGACAAGGAAAAAATTAACACTACTATAAATTGCTCAATTAAAATTTAGTTTGAAACCGTTCTAATTGAAATATGAAGAAACTCTAGGAGTGTTTCTTTATAAATTGCCAGTTTTTTATGTTAGAAGTAAGTGCAGCACCTGGTGACATGAAAAAAATGACATGCAGTCAAATTGAATTAGTGAAATAATTTTAAGTAGTGAAATTTTTATTTTCACTTGATTTATTGCAATAAAAGAAGACTAATTTTATTTCCATCTTTGACATTGTGATTTAATATTTTATCCTCTATATATATATATATATATATATATATATATATATGTATGTATATATATATATACACGATGAGGACATGAAAATGTGCTGCATGCTAGGAATGACCTGTACCGTTAATGGCTGACGTCGCTCTCTGGCTGAGGTGAAAGCGGTCAATAGATGGTTATTTAGGGTTCAGGAGGGCCATCTAATTTACAATCATTACCCGCTTCAGATTCATAATTTTATCAATTTCGCCAGGCTGACAAATCGACCAAAATGCCCTTGACATTTTCAGGTTTTTGAATTGCAGGCATTTTGTAAACATGAGTTCTGAGCACCACCTGACAACAGAAAGAGGAGCGTGAAATAGTACGGGACGCTTCTGGGTTCATTTTGTATGGAGTTGTGTTATATCTGACCTTATGTAAGTATAACGGGATCATTTGAAGAGAGGCCACCCTTGAAATCAGATAACGCCGAACCCTATTTTTCAAGTCGCTCCATGATAACATGTCGTCACATTATGAATATGACGGAAACGGCTGGAATGGTTGCACATTTGTCAAAGTTCGTTTCTGTTTTTGTTCTCTACGCTGGAGAGCTTGCTCTTCCCAGGTGGAAATGCTCTGGCTATAGTAAATCAGAAAAATTGAAAAATCAGCGATGGTCTTCAGCAGTGAACCAAGCCTACAGATGTTAATTAAAGAGAAAGTAGCTGAATGGAAGATGTTAATTAGTAGGAAATGCCTGTGAAAAAAAAATAGAAAAGCCCTTAAAGAAATAGTTCAATCAAAAATGACACGTCCATTTGACTTTGTGTGTGTAATCCAAATGGAGATATTTTACAGAGTGTCCAAGCCACTGTTTTTCATATGAAAGTGAATGAGGCTCCAAAAATGAGAAAAAAACACATAGAAATGGTCTGTATAACTTGCATTATATTTTCAAGTCTTATTAAACCACTCAATAGTTTTAAAAGAGGAATGGGCCACAATTATAAGGTAAAGTGTGTAATTTTTTGCTCTACAAGCATCAACAAATGAGCAGAATAATAATGTTTTTCAAACAGGGTTCCCAAATAGAATGCAAGTCATATGAGTTTCTTATATTATGCCTTTATTATGCTTTTTTGTGTCATTTTTTGACAGCATCAGAAATTTTGCCTTGACAACAAAATAAAATACAATAAGTTGAAGTACTAAAATTACTAAAAAAAAAAAATTTCAATGAAAAATACAGATAAATAGATAGAAATAAGAAAATACAAAATAAAAAAATGACAAAATAACAAAAGGACTACCTTAAACTAAAATGAAACCTGGAAATCAAAAAATAAATTAATTTTAAAATATTGATAAATACTATAATATACATAATGATAAAATAACACTGATCTCACTATAAAATGATTGTTTAAAACTATATTCCCAAGAAAATATACAAGTTTCTTTATGGTACTTTTATTATGCTTTGTCATTTTTGTAGCTGGACAGCATTAGAAATGTTTCCTTGACAGCTAAATAAAATGTTTGTGCTAATGACACACACACACACACACAAAAAAAAAAAAACACAAATGAAGCTAAAGCTGAAGTATAAAGCTAAATAGAAATGTTTTATAAAAAAAAGACCAGTAAAAATAAAAAAAAGCACATAAAAAATAGTAAAACTAAAATGAAACATGAAAATATAAAAATAAAAACGAATTAAAATATTAATAAATATTACAATAGTATATACTTAATACTAAAATAAGACCGCTATTAAATTATCTGTTTTCCTTTCTCTAATCGAAATGTGAAGAAACGAACTTTTTTTTTTTTCCCGTCCTCATTCACTTTCATTATATGAAAAAGAGCACCTGAGACAATCTACTAAACTTCTCCTTTTGGATTCAATCGTGGTTGGTTTTGAAATGGCTTTTATTTTTGTGAAATATTGAATTTTTTTTTTCTACGCCTCGTGCCTGTTGCTGCTTGCCTCATTAGCACTTTGAAAAACATTGCTTTCTTCCAGAACAAAACACTCTGCAATCAGGGGGACGATTCTCCAGTGAGACTTCAGTGTTTATTAGACCATTAGCACTTCCTGTTTGACAGGATGGTTGATCCTTTCAAAGAAATTTAAAGGGTGCCCTCAAACGGCGCCGTAAATGAGGCCAGACCTCAGCGACTTGGTCACGATCAGGTCGCCACAACGGCTCCTATATCAAGCACGCTGAAATCTGCCGTAATTACTGTTGTCATCGATCATATCCTTCCTGTCTCCGCGCGCCGGTCCCCGGGTGAACCATATAAACCAAATGACCCGCATCCATCACCATTTAATATCAAAGAGAATTGCAGCTGTGTTGGCAGTTTGCATTCCTAAATCATATACCTAATTTTAAAAAAAAAATGGCCGGTATCCTCAATGGTGACATAAGTCGCACCAACTCAAATAGGATATGAATTCCACTCGTCGTTTTTCCATGAATATACCATATATTAAAATTTGATCTACTGCACCTTTAAAAAAAAAAAAAACCCTGAATGGTCGAGCTTGACAAAACTAGGGCAAATCGAGGACTTGTGGAGCTGTGCTGTTTGCAGTTTCAGATATGTCAGATCAACCTGTCTTGAGGTGTACATTGAAGTAATGACACTGCTGTATTGTCAGCGGTGGGCGGTATGTCACGTTAACAGTGTGGATATAGTGATAGGTTTTAGTTTTTTTCCCTGTAATGCAGAATTTTGGATAAACCTGTGGATTAAACACAAAGCTGCTTCATATCATTTATGTATTTTATAGATTTGCTTTTGATTTTTCAGTTATTATTCTCTTTATATTCATTTTATTAATTATCCTTTTTATTCTCCTTTATTTCTCATTTATATTTCTCTTTCTCATATTTCACTTATCTTTGTTTTTTCTATTGTTTATTTTTAATTTCTTATTTTTCTCTATTTTATTTCTTTATTTTAATTTATCAATTTATCCTGTTATTTATTGACTCCTTTATTTGGTTGAATCATTTTCATTCTTTTATTCTACTTTTTATAAAATAAGTTTTTATAATACTTTTTATTAATTTCTTGTGTTTTTCTTATTTGTACCTTTATAATCTGTAGTTAATTGTCCTTTTTATTCTCCTTTTATTTCTCTTGATTTATTTCTTCACATTTCTTTTTAAATCTTTTTCTGTATTTTTATTTTTCTGTTCTCATATTTCTCTTATTGTTGTCTTATGTTTTTGCTTTCTTTTTCTCCATTTATTTGATCTTTTTAATTCTCTTTATTCTTATTTCTTCGTTTCTCTATTTTTTTTATTTTTTTTCTCCTGTTCTCATATTTCTTTTCTATGTAGTTGATTTTTAGTTTATTTCTCTTCTATTTATTTATTTATTTTTTTTGAATATTCTTTATTTCTTTACATTTATGTATTGCTTTTTATTTATTTCTCATTTGCTTTTTTCTTTGTTTCTCGTTTGTTTATTCCTTATTTTTTAATAACTGTTTTTTTTTTTTTTTGGTCTTGACTTATTTGAGACTTAAAATATAGTCAAAAATTGTCATGAGGTCATGGAAATGTCTTGGTCAAAAAGATGTAATCTCTGACCATTGCACTGTGTAGATACACCTTTATACCGCCCGTCTGCCTCTCTAACGCATGCTTGAATAAGTTTTCCCTAAAGCTTGCAGTACACAGCGTCACAGCATGCAGTGATCCTCAAGTGTCCTGATGCCCAGAAATGCATCTGTATTCTTAGGGACGATCTGACTTGCTCTTCAAATGACACCCTGAACTCGCCAGTGATGTGGCTATTTTATGCCAGCGGTGTTGTTGGGAATTGCAATCCTTCTGTATTCCATTCTGGTTCAGTTTTCATCTTTGAAAACCTTTTGTCTTTTTGATGCTGCTTGGGTCACGCCAAGTTCTTCCATGAAAAGTTTCTAGTTTCTCCTTGGCTCATTCTCTCCTCTTTTCCACGCTCTTTTCCTCTAGTATCTCCAAAGGAGGCAGCAGGAAAATGCCCAGCGGCAGAGTCGTGGAGAGCCTCCATTACCGGAAGAAGACATCAGTAAGATGTTCAAACCTCCGCAGGCGCCTGCACGCATGGACACGCTCCTCATCGCAGGTACCCGGGGGGTCAACGGTCGCCGTTCACCCTCAATTAAACGCCTTTTTCTTCCAGCATATTCTACAGGGCATTGGAAATTTATAGTCCTCTGCCTAAAAGAATCGATCCATGAATTGATCAATTCAGCAATGAATGGATCCGTTTAAATGGGAATGGGAATAACTGCAGGTCTTAAATCTTCACACCATGTTCTTATCCCGATGGAGTCGCAGTTAGATTTGGCCTCTTCTATCGGACAGCCATCATCTCTGAAGAGGATGATTAAGTACTAAGCTTGTCAAGTACCCCCCCCATCAACATGATTACTCTGGTTTAATTAAGTTTAGTTTTGTCCATTTCTACATGTAGACAGGGCTCAACAATTATTTTTTTTTCTGCTTCACTGTCCCAGTTGAGCCAGTACTTATTTGGACACGCACTTTGGGAAAAGGGGAAAAAGTTCTACTAATATATTTATTTTTATTATTTTTTACATTTATTTATTTATTTAAAACCTGCCCTGTCAAAATTGTAAAAAAATAAATAAAATACTGGCAACTTTTTAAATATTTTTTGGTAAATATTTGTTACAAAAACACATTTATTAATAATCATAAATATAACTATTTATAGTATTTTATTTTTTACATTTTCATTGATCTGGAAATTATACAACTATGAAACTCCATGACTCCACAATGGCATACAGATTTGTTTGCAATTTTCAGCCCCTTCCAGCTGATGCACCAAGGCCATTACAAGTCATTCTCGCAATGATCACAAAACCACATCTGTTAGCCAATTAAATACCATTACCTTCACATTTTAGAATTTGCAGAAACAATGTATAAATATAGAAACCTTGGATGTTCTCCTTACTCCACACACCTGATTTATATCAGAAGCTCATTTTGAGGCTCCAAGACCTGAGCCAGGTGTGTCAGATTTAACCCTCTGGTTCTGCTCATGCGGCAGTCAAAAATGACCTTCATTTCGATTAAATTAAATGTACTATATATTAGGCTTGCCGTGATAGACAGTGTTGATGGTGATACCGGTGTTAAGCCGCAACACCGGTTACGTCACTTGCCCACCGCGTCACCGAACCCACCGTCGTTTTGATTTTTTATAGTAATGAAAATCATTTAGTTCAGTAAAAGAACAGACACTACAACAGTTTGTTTGTGCATTTTAAAGCATCATAGGTGGGCTCTCGACATCAAAGGTAGGTTTGCAACATTATTGCTTCATGCAAAACAGCATGTATACTTCACAGAAGCCAATGCCAGAATGCGTTACGATGAGCTTGTTGAAAAAGCACCAAGATGCAGAGAAGTCATGAGAAATGTTGATTATAAATATGCAATTCCTATCAATGAGCTAAACTCAATCGAAAATGGACTCTCTTAGCTTAGCAACATGCCAATGTAAATATAATTGGTAGCTGCCAATGTAAAGCATCCTAGACACTTGTGAAGTTAATGCTGTTACAGTAGATGTAGTAACTATACCATCTTGCTAAAAGACGCTTTCTCTATTGACGCCCATTCAAAATCATTTTCAGCCAAAGTAAAAGTTTGAGGTTTTTAATGCATGAACATGATTAAGACCGAAATATATTACTATTTTAATGCCATCAATGTATTATAAAATTAATATTACTTATATTTTATTACTATTGTACAAGTGATATTTTCTGTTGTTTTGTGGTTTTATCGAATGTAGCCTAATATTTTTATTAATGTAATTGAATTACTTTTATTGTACTGTAAAATAGTAATACATTCCTGTCTTTTTAATATAATTTTATCATTATTGCGTATAATAACAATTAGTTAATCATTTAATAATAATAATAAACTTTACATTTTACTGTACAGTCTTTTTTTATTATCAGAACACTTGAGTCCCAAAAAAACAACAACACAGACTAAGACACTATAAAAGTAAACTGAATATACATTTATTTACTTGAAAGTCCACTTACACAAATTTCCACTTTTTTTGTGGGCTGAGTACACATGGTCACTGAAATAAGTGTTAGTTGGTTCTTTTATAGATTACACCAAAGTTAGCCTTAACAGCCTTAAAGAGAAATAATTTCTATTGGCTATACGGCGTGGGTGAAACCTTAATTTGCAGACAAAGCGTTGCTTGTTAGCCTGTAGTTTTTAAACTTTTTTTTTTTTTCGATGCAAGTTTGTCCTTTTATTCCTTTAGTCAGGATGTAAGCAGCAGCAACAGTTTAATATGACAGAAATAGATATTCATAGGCTATAGCCTAATTTAATTAATTAAATTATTATTTATCTGTCCAAATGCCCGATTAGCTTTAAACCAGTTTTTAATTTTACTGGGCTCTTAAACGTGTGAAATGTTGCTGGATTGGTTGTTTCTTTTCTTTTCTTTTTTAAATTATATTAAACTATCCAAAAAATAAGTATATTTATAAAAATAAATAATTGTCAGTAAGGATGCTTAGAAGGCTAGCTAGGCCTATGTAAGTATCCTTCCAGCATCACGTAGTCGTCGACACTGAGGATGTGATGTCCTTTTCATTTGAAAACAAGTTGTATAAGCAAAACTAACTTCGAGACTCTGAATGTACTTCCATATTTTGTGAGGAATACGGCAGAACTCCGTGTTCCCGGGTTTGTCATTCATCCTTAAGATGTTTACGCAGGTCTGCGTCGCTCCGTTAGCTCGGTGCCCTCGCGAGGCTCTCTGTGTGGCAACTCGAAGCCCGCGTTACCTCGACCTATTGAAATATATATAAATATATATGTCGCGTTCATTAAAAACAGCAGCCGCTCGGGCTGCGCTGTTAAAATCAGCTTGTCAGTAATGATGGACAATGCCTCGGCTTAATAACATGAAACGAGTTATCTCGCCGTTAAGTCATGACTCTCCTGCTTTTTCCCCTTCCTCTCTGAAATTGCCATGGCAACTGCAGATTCTCTATGCACAGCGATAGGAGCCGAGAAGAGTTCCCCCCACCCTTCCAAAAGTAATCTTGTAAATCCTCAAAACCTAAAGAAAATATTGATTTAGCAAAGGTGTGGGTGGGAAAGATGAATGAAGGATTTGCGTGATGATGAGAAATACGAAAGATTGAAGATTAAAGGGGTCATATGATGCTGCTAAAAAGAACATTATTTTGTGTATTTGGTGTAATGAAATGTGTTTATGCGGTTTAAAGTAAGTAAAAAACATTATTTTCCACATACTGTACATTATTGTTTCTCCTCTATGCCCCGCCTTCTGAAACGCGTCGATTTTTACAAAACTAATCGGTCTGAAAAGCGAGGTGTGCTCTGATTAGCCAGCTATCCAGTGCGTTGTGATTGGCCAAATTCGGCTCACCCTACTTTACTTTAGCACCTGCTTTTTAAATTTTCTTTCTTCATGCAGCGCAAAAATACCTACATGCTTTCAATTCCACTCTTGAATTCTGAATATCCGACTTCCTATTTGGAATAGTGCGATAGAACGCTGCCGATTTTTGAACCTTTCCAAACGTAGATTCATTGATTTGTTGCTCTTCAGCTCTTGTCATGTCAATCAGACTGTTTTATATGAATTTAAATGCTATTAATGTATGTAGATATAGCCTGCCTATTTTATTCATATTTTGATATATTATTTGATATTTTGGTAGCCGAGGCTATATATTCTTTGAACTTATTTGATGCTGCATTCCACTCACGAATTCGGAATTTCCAACTTCCTTTTTGGAACCATGCGATAGAACGCTGCCAATTTTTTAACCATTCCATTCCTAGATAAATATCAATTTTCATGTTTTGATATATTGGTACATAAATATGATTATTCCTTGAACTTGTTTGGTGCTGCTTTTCATTCCACTCATGAATTCGGAATTTCCTACTTTATTTTTGGAATACTAGCCTAGTGCGATAGAACGCTGCCAATTTCTGAACCGTTCCAAAAATGTAGGCTATTTCATTGATTTGTTATCCTCAATCCATAGTGCTTTTACACTTATTTATATGCTATTCGTGTATGTAGATAAATATCCTTGACTTGTATTCATGTTTTAATATATTTTTGATAGGCTATATTGGTGCAAATAAATATTGTAGCGTCTGGACCACTCAAACACACAATATATATTTTGTTTTTATATTTAACAAATACTCTGTAACCCCCTCAGTTAACAAGCCATATGAGGACCCATGAACCCTTCCCCCCGAAATGCGTAACACCCCAGGAAGCCGAACAGGCTACTGGTTGCATGGCAACCAACGCTGATATCACTGGGTTTATTGGCCAAAAGAATGCAAAGCAGGGAAAATCCCTGCATGTCCCAGGGCAAGAGGCAGAGTAGAAATGGACTTTTCTACTAATTAATTCATAGGAAAACCTTTCTTTGAATGAACACACATCATCCTTCAGGTCATTGGGTATATTATTGTCATCATGTATTTGGTCTTTGAAATTGTATACTGTTATGCAGACTTATAATCGAAACACCCTCCTGTCAGCTTACATATATATATCTCCACCATGTTTAGTATCTATGAATTCGCCTTCTGATGATCGAAACGAGCGTGTATATTATATGTTGGTACATAGGCAATATATTAGTGTCCTGAGAATCTTTAGTAATTTCGATTCAAGTTCCATTTGCAAATTACCATGCCCTCACACAAAGGGTCATAAAAACTCCCCAGTATCTCAAAACTCCCACTTGGGATACCGGCCTTTCTCATTGGACAAGCCCATCTTGAGAGGCGGGGATCTTCTCCGACCTTAAAGGCCCACACCAGGGACCCTCCCCAGTCGGTGGTTCTGTTAGGTTCTGAGAAGATGTGAGCTACAATGCTCCAGGACATCCTTAAGTTCATTTGAAAACAAGTTGTATAAGCAAAACTAACTTTGAGACTCTGAATGTACTTCCATATTTTGTGAGGAATACGGCAGAACTCCGTGTTCCCGGGTTTGTCATTCATCCTTAAGATGTTTACGCAGGTCTGCGTCGCTCCGTTAGCTCGGTGCCCTCGCGAGGCTCTCTGTGTGGCAACTCGAAGCCCGCGTTACCTCGACCTATTGAAATGTATATAAATATATATGTCGCGTTCATTAAAAACAGCAGCCGCTCGGGCTGCGCTGTTAAAATCAGCTTGTCAGTAATGATGGACAATGCCTCGGCTTAATAAAA